AAATAGGTTGAGTTCATTATCATTACAGAAAAAAAATTGAGGTGACCCAATCAAATTAATTTGAAATTAAGTGCAGTGAGGCTGATAACTTCACACAAGTCAGGAGTTTGAATAAAAATAGAGGAAACCATCTCCAGAACAAGAAATTATAAGCAGTCAAGGAGTGGAGCTGGAATTACTGCAACTGGGAGATGGCAAACACATGGTGTGGGCAAAAAGGGACACTGAAAAAATCAGGGAAAGTGGATAAAGAGATGGGCAAATACTGCAGGATGTAAAAGGGGAAGCTGGAGGAGGAAGGGATGAAGATGGATTGGAAATAAATGGGTAGGGACAGTGCTTGTTAAGCTAACCAGATTTATTTCTCTGCACAGAAATTCTTATGTCCTTACAAGACAGCATCGAAGCAAGGTCTTTAATTTTACTTTTCCTGGGTTTATTGCTTGGGCCTCTGTGTTATTTAACACCACTGAGCACCAACCAGTTTCAGTGCACAGCTGGACCTAACTTAAACTCCTTAAATCTGGTGGAATTTAAGGTGTCCTGGAGGAGCTGCTGCTGCTTCTCCAACAGAGCAGGGAAGTCTTGTGCTCTGGGAGGATGGACACCACCAGGGGACTGATGGACAGAGCAAGGAGACAGCATTCCCACATCCCTCTTCCCTCAGAAAAAACAATGGGAAAGCAGAACCAAAAGCAGGTGGACCCCATGATGCTGAGCTCTGTTGGACACTCCAGCACAGCAGGAGGAATCAGAGCCCATCACTCAGGGAGCTTCTCTGAGGCTTCTCTGGAGAAGCAAACACGTTTTGTGTCTCTCTTGCCTTTACCAGAGTGGGCCAAGCTCTGAATGAGCCTCGGAGCTGGGTAATACAAATAATGCTGAATGGAATATTCAGGATGCACATGGTCATCCTTTAAGGGTTTAACCTCTGGGAAAAAGCTAAGACAATCCATGGAAAACTCACGTGTGTTGCTGCATGATCATGCTTCAGTTCAGTTCAGTGATGAATTTACTCCCAAGCCTTTACCAAGCCCTGTGACATAATTTTAGCACTCAGGGCCAAATGGGAACAGTGAGAGCCCAGCAGTACTGGGCTTGTGGGCAGAGGCTGTGCTGGGACTGTCCTGTGCCCTTCCAGGACACATGGCAGATGTCAGCTCAGACCATCAGTGGGACATCCTTGTCCCTGGCCATCCCACGGAGTGGGTTTTGAAAGGTCTGACCAAAATGCCACCAGTCTGTCACTGCAGCTGTACAAGTGGCCCTCCCAGTTCCCCAGTTTGGCCAGGCCAAAATCTCACCTTCTGAGCCTTCTGCCTTGTCCCCATGAAATACATACTGCTTCCCTTTGCCTTGAAGGTCCCACAGCTTAACTTCTCTCCATCCTCACCTCCAACTCATCCCTAAGTGCACGGGGAGCATTTGGGATAAAGCTTCAAGAAGGCATTCAACATAAATTATTATTCCCCTTCTAAACGGATTACAAAAATCCTTTTATTACAAAATACTGAAATGTTCAAATTATTGGTGTGGAAAACATTTCCTGTAGGTAAAGTTTTCAAAAATGGAGGTTTTAATCACAAGCATAATCCTTTCTGGCTAACATTTCCAGTCTTGTGAAACATGGAGATACAGATTGCACAGAGGCCTGGCTGTGCCATGAACAAAGGGAAATGCTGCCTGTAAATAGCTCAGAGGACATCAGAAGACACTTCTCTCATCAGCAATCTTTTTTAGCTTAATATAGCTCCTCTTTGCATAAAACATTGACATTTTTGTAATGTTTGGACCCAATGGTGCGAATGCTGATTGTCATGCGAAGATACTGGAGTGTACCTTCAAAATATGCAGGAACATTTTACAGACAGTAGTTTCACTTGCCTCCAAAATGCCGGATCTTAATATTTCATACTTATATATATTTAAATGTTAGTACCACAGGATAAATTCTAACATGCTTTTATGCTAATGCAATCACTGGAAATCCAGATAATGCTGTGTATTGGCATATACTGTTAGTGAATTATGGATACCTAAATGTACAACCCCACATGCCTAGCAATTATTTTTGTTAGTGCATTTAACTTTTATTTGCAATCAGAGCACTTGAGGATTGTTCAAATGAAGTTTACTTTTGCAAACTGCTGAATGGAAAAACATTTTGTTAAAGGCTTAAAAACAGTAAAGAGTGTGATGAGGTTTTAGACTTGCAGTAAGGGCACTGCTCACAGAACTCCACCAGATGGAATGATGTTTGATTTGGTCACAGGCTCAGCAATTAAAACCCAAATGCCTGAAGTGAAGGACATATAAGAGAAGCATGAGATGAAACTTTGATTTCCTCCCTGTCAGGGAAGAAATCTGCCTCTCCTGTGGCAGAGGTTCCCAGAGGCAGATGGATGCCAGGAGGTCTGACCCTGGCAGCTGGACCTGAGACCGTGTGTCCCGAGGTCCCAGTCATGCTGTGCTATGGCTGCTTTTCAAATATGCTTTAAACCAAATAAATAGGAGCAATATCAGGAAGGAGAAATCCTGAGATAGCCCTATTGTGTCTTCTCCTCTTCCTGCCTTTGCTGATCCAAGTCTTGGCCAGCCCCCTGGCCTGTTGGCTGAAGATGCTAATCCCCTAGAAATCCCTTTTATTCCAATGGGCTTCCAGCACAGCCAGAGATCTGAGCCAGGACCTGGCAGGACCACGTGCAGGCAGGACGTGGGTGCTGCAGCTTCTTGTTCCATCCCTTACCTGCTTCACTACCTGAGCAGAGTTAAGGACATGCAAATCTGGAGAAGATCTGGGTATTTCTGAGAGCTGAAAAGTTCTGGATGTGACCCAGGCACATTTGGAATCGCTCTGTGTCCAGTGGTTTCCTCCTGTGTTATATACTTGTCTACAGGCAGTGCCAAACTCCCTCTTCCAGACTGAGCTGTGCCAGGAGTTACTGACCTCCCTTGCAGGGCTCTGGAGTGGCTATCGTCATGCCCTGATTTCCCTCTGGGAATGTTTGCCTGGCTTGAAACCACTGGCCTGAGCCAGCCTGGCTGAACAGACCTGGGAGGTGGCCACAGACCCATTTGGTGAGCAGCAGACCATTGCTGCTTCCCAGGCTCAGCATCCAGCACAGGATCTGATACCAGCCCCAGGCACACAAGCACAGAACAGATCATCTCCCTGCAGCCCAGCGAGCTGTGACACCTCTGGGAATTGACTGGAGAGCCCTACCACCTCTCTAAGGCTCCCAGGAACAACCGTGAGGGAAGGAAATAAAAAACAAGCCCTCAGAAAAACACAAAATGCTGTGTGAAGTACCTGAAATGCCCCCAACAGTTTAACTAGAGCATGGAGTAAGCTGAGAAAATGTATGAACAAACGAATTAAGCAGTGAGCACACAGCAGACAAGTTGTCATGTAGGTGTCTACTGAGAAAGCTTAAGCACAGCAAGGGGAGAAAAAGCAAACTCAAACCAAGGCATAATATCCCTCACATTTTGGAGCAGAGTTCTCAGACAATGTATCATGCAAACCACTCCAAATTACCATCTGCCAGAATGTCCTTCAAAGAAAAAAGGTCCACAAGTTTGCAAAGCAGAGGTTAATGTTGTCATATCAGATGAGAGGTGCTCTCCAAAGAAGATTTTTGCTTTTGAGTGAGAAATACTACATGAAAGTGTGACTCTCGTGGCCACTGCTACACTGTCAGGTACCATAAGACTATGAATTTTTGGAGTCTTGACCATGTCATGGCAGGTACATCTGGAAGGAAGCTCTTTAACAGCCCCTGTCATTTCACAAGTTACCTGCAAATGTCTCCAGACCCTCTGCATGATCTTCTCTGTATGTAGAAAGAGTCGACATAAAGAACCTGAGCAAACCACTCCAGTATTGCTTCAAAGACTGAGATACACCAAAATAAGAAGAGCAGGTTTTGTTTCTGATGTATCTTCCTGTCATCTCTAAGTCAGGCTCTGTTTCAGTCTAGAAGCTAGATCCTTTCCTGGTATAAATCTGGGTACCTGCTCCTGTCCATGAGACCCCATCACTCCACACATGCTGAGGGCCAATTGCATTGCATACAAGATTGCCAAATAAATGCAGGTCCATGGACCATGTGTTAGACTAAGCCATAAATAATTTATGATGCTAGAGAAGGTGACTGTATTTTTAGGTGTAGAAATATGCAGCTAAAACAGTCCTGACCTTCAATTTTCACTCTGCACTTCTGATCCTCAAGTTTGAGTCCATCCAATGCATTTCTAAAGCCTCTGCACCTCTGAATGTGCAACACACCCCCTGAAAAGCCCCAAAACCATAAATTAAAAAGGGGGCACCTATAAAACCATGGAGCCCATGGGATACCTCCTGCAGCACTACACATGATGCCCCAGAATGAGGCAGAGCAGGCTCCTTCCCCTGAACCTCAAATATCCTGCAGGTCAGTCTCCTCTGGATTCTGGCTGCTGACCCTTATTCCTGACCCCATGTCTAATCAACTCCCCTTTGCTGTCAGGGGCACATGCCCATGGGGCCCAAGCCCCTCTTTAAAGACCACAGGAGCTGCTCAAATCAGCACCTTGCCAACTTGAAGCAGCCCAGGAGCAAGGACAAGGAAGGACAAAGGTGCTCACTGGGGTGCTTGTAACTGTACTCTTCATCACATCTTCCCCCAGTGAAGTCTGTCAACGGGAGAAAAGGAGAATTATTCCCCCTTGGACTTTGTACAAACAGGGACCCCAGGGAAATCAAGAAACAATCACAGATTTGACATCACATTACTTCTGGATATGTCCAATGAGTAAGATAAGAACACACTGAGGAGAAAGGGAAATGTGTGTTGCAAGGGCTATGGAGGGGACAAGACAATTTTGTGGTGTGTCACAACACAGCTTTCAGGCTCTGCTATCAGAAATAAACCAAGGGAGCTGGAGAGAGGCACAGAGCCCAGCTCAGGGCAGGTCTCACCTGGACAGGGCAGGTCTCACCTGGACAGGGCAGGTCTCACCTGGACAGGGCAGCTCCCAGGACGAAGGCAGCATGTTCCTTCAGCGAGGCCTCGCTGCTGTTCAGCCCCTCGATCACCAGCCGGAGCCCACCCATGGACAGGAAATCCTTGGCATTGTCCACCTGGGAGACAGCAGCTTCCATCAGCACAAACCCCCAGCCCCTGGAGAACACCTCCCTTCACACCCACAGCATCCCTTCCCTCCTGCTCTGACCAGCAGGGAGTTTCACAAGGAATTAAAAATTCCCAGGGAATGGCTCTGGCTGCAGGAGCAGCGATGTCAGGGCTGCACAGGCACAGTGTCCTCATGGGAGGACACTATCACACTCAGAAGGCATCGCTGGAAACTCAAATACTTTGATTATAGCTATCAAAACTGCTCTTGACATGTATTTTGTTAATTCAGGTGGTGTCAAAAACTCGAGATATCTGCTGATGTCAAAAAGCTCCAGCTCTTTGCTCTCCCCTGAGCAGGCCTTTACTGGGGACCCAGGGAATTGCATGTTTTGCAAATTAAGTTAATTAATTGATGCTGTAATTGTAGCACCAGGAGTCAGGGATGTTTAGGAGCTTGTCAACACCAACAGGGTGCACAGGTGGCATTGGAGTGAAGAGCATGGGCAGTTCTGGGAGTTCTCCATGAGTTCCTTCAACAACTTCCCATGGACAAGGAAGGAAAAAGCCAGTCCCTGCTTGGAGGGGTCAGCCAGGAGCTTCCCCACAGTGGGAGCAATGTGCTCCCCAGTGCGGGGAGCAGCCCCACATTGACTTTTCTAAGCAAACAATAATGGATTAACTGCCAGTAGGGAAACGTTTACACATTAGTGGGGATTCATCAGCCTCTGGCTCTAAATGGGTCAGGGGCTAGCCAGGCATAGTCCCAGTGGGCATCTGCTCTTGGAGAGGAGATCAGAAAAGGTGTGCTCACAGACAAAATTTAGAGAAACTGCACAAACTACTTCAAGTACAAAATTCAGTCCAAAGTCAAATCGATGCATTTTGGTATTCAATGATTTTTTTTTTCAGTTTAAAAGGGGATCTGATGAATGCTCAGAACTGCCTGCACAGAAAAATCAGGTTTAGAAATTCGACATTTCTCCTCCCTGAAAGACAGGGAGACAACAGCAATCATTGGCAGATGGAAACAGAATATAAAAATGAGTTATCAGCAGGGCAAACCGACCCCCTGATGGGGTGAGAGAGGACCACAAGCCATGCAGGGCATGTGGGACACTCTTCTAGTCAACGACTTCATGTTCAGTGTTATATTTATCTCAACCATGTACCTTCATCAAAATTGGCCCTAAGTCAGATATTTCAGGTACCCAGGAGAAGGAAGAAGCTTTGTGTCCTACGGCTCTGTCGTTACCAACCAAAGCAGGACCTGGGGAGCTCCAGCTCATCTCTGCTCCCCAACGGGACAATACCCACCTGTCCCTCTGCAAAGCTGCTCTCTGCAGGTCTGCTGGGGCTGATTCAGGATTTGCAGCAGCTTTTGTATCCTTTCAGATGCTGTTCTTTTAACTGTTCCTATAAACCAGGCCTGCCAGATCTCTCACTTTTCTGCAGACCCATCTTTATCTACAAAGAAATCTATGCAGCAACCCAATTTCAGCTGCCAGTGGGTCCTTTTATTACTCAGCCTCTGTAAAAACTGGTTTAGTGCTAGAATCGGACATTGACTTCTGCATGAGAGGGAATGTATGGACGGGCAAGAATTTGCATCCAGCACCTGGTGGGGTAAAACCAGCCACTGCTGTAACCTCAGCAGCATCACAGTCCTTCATGCTGCCCCAGCGTCAGCGAGACACCACAATGGCAGAATATAAATTGTGCTGTAAAGCTTATTCTGAAGATGTGTTTATCTTTTTTAACCAGAGTCTGTTCTGAGAGTTCCAGTTCTAAAACTATCAAAATCCCCAAACTTAACAACTTGAAGGTATTAACCTCTCTGGGGAGCAGTGGATGCTGTGAGGCAGCAGCTCCTACCTCGCTTCAGTCCACTGAAACCAGCACAGAAGAAAAATCAAAGATCAAAAGAGCTCTTGAGTAAAGTACACAGGCAAAACAGGTGAGGGGAGGGATGGGAGAGGAGCAAATATGACAGCAGTTATTCAGGGAGCAGGTTTGAATTTGAGGGGAAAGAAAATAGGGAGGGAAGGTGAGAGAGAAGATGTTAGAAAACAAGAGCAAGGGAAAGCAGCATGTCAACTGCACGTGATGGAGAGGAAATTAGCAGAGAGAGATGGTGTAGCATGTCAGAGGAGAGGAGAGAGGCAGATAAGCAGAGTAAATAATTGAGAGAAGGAGTCTGCAATGCCTCAGAACAGGTCTTGGCTCCACACACTGCTGTGCAAGCACCGTGAATGCTATTTATGAGTTACGCTCTGCCCTCTTCACATTTGCATTTGGGTTTTATGCATTACAGATAACCCAGCAAGCCAAACCTTCCTACTCCTTCACCAAGATGGGCTCCCAAACATGCCAAGCTGAATCGTGGCTGAGGAGAAGCAAACCAGAGCTGGCAACCAAAAGCTGAGCAAAGGCAGAGCCCTTGGGCTGACTCTTCAAAGGAGGAGAGAGCATCTCCCCGGGCTGGCCACTGGCCACGGCTCCCACGGCACACTCCAAGGCATGAGCTGCCCTACACCCTCTGCTCCAGGGTGACCATGGCACAGAGCAGGGAGCAGCCTTTGTTTGCACACCCTCCAGGGCATGGCATTTTCCACTCCATTGGGCATCCCGTGCCCTGGAGGGAGCAGCAGGATGGCTGGGAGATGAACAGTTATGAAAAGGCACGGCCCAGTACTGCTCTGATGGAGGCTGGAAAAGGTGGGACCAGCAAAATGGCCCCACACATGGCCTGTGCCACCCACACCTGCAAGGATCCCATGCTCCCACAGCAGGGCTGTGACACACTGCAGAGGAGTCCTGACAGTTCAGCCCTTCTAGGGTTATGCGGCACAAGCATCCTTTGGCTGCTGTTCAGTAATTACATTAAGCCAGTGCTGCTAAAGTCAGTCCCAAGCAGAGATAATGCTCTGGACGCATTCAACTGACTGGAAGAAGAAAGAGGAGGAAAAGCCATGCTGGCTTAGAGACAAGTCATATTTCTTATCAGCTTCCTGCCTGACGAGAAGGTGCTGCCCAGCCATCTGCCCCGACAGCGCGGGCACAGAGCAGCGCTGTGATCAGCACACAAAGGAGCCCCTGTGCTCCCGCCAGCCTCCTGCCATTCCCCCTCTCTGACCCCTTTGATGCTGCATGTGCTTCCCTTTGATGCTCCAGTCCCTGCTCCTCTGCCATTCTGAAATTGTTTGTCCCATCCTGTGCTTCAGGGATTTTCTGCTGGAATAGTCCAAACCATTATGCTGGAATCCAAGGCATCTCAGGGCATTTGGGGGTTGCTTTTTTAGCACACTGGCCTGATGCTCTGTCACCCTTAATCAGGGAAGATTAGCCCTGAGTACAAATATGAAGCTCTTTGGGTGCCTATTGTTCACAGTTATTCTCTGAGTCACACAGATGCTGTCAGTGACACAAAAGCAGGGAGAACAAACAGCAAGGAAGCCTCTGCATGCCCACAACAGCAATTCAGAGTAGAAATTCAAGACAAAGAGCCCTGGAAATAACACTTCTATCAGCTGGCACATGGACTTCCTCTCCCACAGCAGCAACACTTCAGCTACCTGCCCTCAAAATCCCACATTTGGTTCAACAAGTGCTGTTACAGTGAAAGGGCTTGCACTGGCACCTCCCAAGAGTTATCCTATTCACTATCTAAAATGACAAAGTGCCACTGGAAACTCTCCCAGTGCACTCCAGACTCTCCCAGTCACTGGGGAGGGAAAAGCCAAGTCCCTTCTCACATGGCAGAGCAGAGGCTGGATGCCCAGACACCCTCCCAAGGGTGGCACCAAGGCAGGCACCAAGCCCAGGGGAGCAGAGCTCTGTGCCTACAGCTGCATCCAAGAGGAGGAAGGAACATGTGAGCTGAAAGCAGAGCAAGAGAGATCAGAGGGAGGGGGGAAAAGTGTGAGCACAAACACGAGGAAGCGAGATGCCAGGAAATATGTTCACCCTCACACAGAGCTAATTAGCACGGCGAGGCTCCGCTTGCCACTGCTTACTCACACCAAGACAAAATAGGGGGTTTTGGGTGGCTGTCGCCTTCCCTGGTACAAAGACATTCTCTGTGAACTGATGTAAGGGCACCTACCATCAATCATGGCAGCTTTCCATGGAAGCAGAGAGAAAATAATTATTTTCTTAGCAGCCACCACTCTACTTACCCAAAAATGGCAGCTAAAACCCCATTTTGTAACATTAAGGAGATAAAAGAGGAAAAAGTAAGGATGAGAAAACCAGCCTGAGAACAGACAACAAATCAGGGAACCACTAGGATACTGCTGGCTCCTGGCACAAGCGATGATTAATTCCAACCTGGATATAAAATAAGCCTACACTAGTCCTCTGCTGTCTGTTATTGTCCCAGGATTATGGTAATTAAGCAATTTGTATTACCTGATACTGATAAGAAAAATAAAGCCCCATTTATGACACCGTATCCCCTGGATTTTACACGGTAGTAACTGAGGCATTCTTGTTACCTGGTGAACATAATATTCGAGATCATAAAGCGCCGCGACTTTTTCATCCAGCGTGGAGGCAGAGCTGTTGAATTTGCTGATTAATTTAACCATAATTTCATAATCTGTTTCTATCTTCATATTCAGCTTTTCAAACTCCTCCTTCAGCTGCTCTATGGGTCGGAACTTCTTCCTCACCTCTTCCTCTCGGGCCTTGGAAACAGAAGGAAGAAACCAGATGTGAAGATAGAGGATGAAGAGAGACAAGACAAACACAGAAAGGAACGCCAGCCCCAAATTCACAAAGGGAACCTGGCTGTCAGTGCCAATGGATTTATTGCTGTGCATCAGAGGTTCAGGGACAGGGTTGGAGGGTCCTTCTGAGAAGCCCAGAAACCCAGTTAGCTGTGAGATACCCACAGTATGAGTGAGCAGTAGGGCTTTGTGCACCACTTCTACATCTCAACAGCATTTGTGCATCATTTCTGCATCCCATTTCCATCCAGCTCAACATCAAACCCACAGGCAGCAGTACTGCTGTTTTCTGCCTGCAAGTGGATGTTCCCAAAACCTGGCTGCAAAAA